CTGAATTGGACAGAGGGAGACATACCCCTTCTCCTTTCCTCTCTCCCTCCACTCTTTCACCAGTGCCTTCCACTGGCTTAACTTAATCAGATGCAGTTGGCAAGGAAGCCTGGAAACCACATTTCAAAAAGTCAACTTTCTATAATACAGAGCCAGGAATGAAAGTGAGGAGAAAGGATATAAAAGCAAACAAGCAAACTTGAGGGCAGCACTGGTTTAGTGTTCCAAAAAGATCATAATATAAAACTAAAGGGTGGCATTGTGGCAGGCTAGATCTCCACAAGCCCTTTGCTGTAATGATGAATGTGTAAGTTAAACATTGAAGACCTGGAGAAACTGGTGCCTGAGTAGGAAAGCTGGAATGCAGAAACAAACCCATTAAGACCCTACCTGGGCTTTCTCAGCCTCAAACCTGATTGAGTGATAAAAGCATTCATGTACATACAAAGTGTAACAGGACCCATGTAAAATTAAGAAACCTTCCAGCCCACAGACCCCTGGTTAAAGATTAGATTTAGACTGAGTAGAAATACTCCCACATGTAGGCATAGAGCTTGAAATTCATATATATATATATATATATATATATATATATATATGAAAAAACTCATAACTTTCAGTTACCCCGACATTCTCCATGTGACTGGTTACAAAAATAAACTCTCTTCTTTTCCAGTTCACCTGCACCTCATTATTAGACCATGAGAGCAAGCAGCCAGACCCTGTTCTTCTGGCAACAGCATCAATCTTACCACCACTCATGCACACAACCTTGGCACTTTGAGGGGCTTAGTATCTTAATATCACTGGCATCGGTGGGAATATGTAGGAGAAATGGAAGCAGTATCTGGTAGAGAAAGAAGGAGAAGTGGCAGGATTGAGGTGCATGCCGGGCATTCACGATGTCTTTCTTGTAGTCTATAAAGTAGCAGAAAGATAAAGAAATGACAGTTACAACATGGTAACATAAAAATTAGTAAAATGTGACATAAATTAGACATTAATTTTGGTTTGGCACAACAGAATATTCTGTCTGCATAATTTTGTTAGATCCTCATTACAATACCAAACCCTCAGATGAGGACAAATAAAGACTCAACCTCTGGCCTTGCATCTTAAGGTGCGTTTTCTCAAAATTTTCTGGGTTCCACTTTGGTGGTGGGGATGGCTAGAGCCAGCAGTACCATGTGGTCGGGGAGCTCTGAGCTGGTTCTGTGCCCATATGGACTCTGCTTTCTATTTCATCCCTTCATGGTTCTTTCTTACCCTGTTCCTTGCATGTCAGGCCTACTTGATGCCCCAAAGAACTCCAGGACTTGTGCTCACAACTGAAGTTGTCCTGAGGTCCTGTGGCTGAACCCTGGATCCAGAAAGACAGCCTTGGAAATAAACTGCTACTCCTGTAGCCAGCACCTTATTATTATGTATTTTTGAATTATTTTATCAGATTCGATTGCCAAAGAATCTTGCAAAAACAATTTTCTCCACAAGCTATACACCTTATGGTTGGTCATGTTATTTATGTTCCCATTTTAGATGAGAGGACCAATATCATAGATTAAAAACGTCAAATCCAAGATTACACAAACAGTGAAGATTGAATCCCAGGTTTTTCAGAAGGCATTTTGATGTTAGATCTTAAGCCTATTATCCTATTCAAAGGCTCAGAGCAGACATGCTCTGAACATACTCAAAATAACTGACACTGGAAAAGGTAACAGAGATGTGAAAATCTTGCCACAGTAGGTGTGTGAGTGGTCTGGGGGCAGGTGAGTTCCAGAGAAATGTGGCACCTAATGTCATTAAACTGACTGTATTATACCAGGGCCAAGGGGGCCTCCAGATTGCTTTCACAACTGGGTAGTTCATCAGTTAATGTGATTCTCCAAACTTTAAATGAATAGAAAACTGGAGGAGTAAAATATAGAAAACTAGAGGAAAACACTCCTTCTAATCCCAATATAAATTCTTCACTTCTTTTCAACATTCTTCCAGGAGAAGGATTCTTTGGGCTCTTTGTCTTCTACTTTTATTTCTGTGCAAGGATTTATGCAAGAGGTACTTGACAATGCTATAATGTAGGGCTTTGTTTTTCATGGGAACACAAGGCAAAGCGGAAAACTCTCCAAATTGTTTAGTGAGAAAACATAACCTTTATCCCTTTATTTGGGGGGGGGGGGGGGCGGTGAGTCAAGTGGTAGGGACTAGAATTCAAGTCTTCAACGGGCATATAAATACATGTGTTTGCAAAAGCAGCCATCACACTTTGTATGGCAAGTGGAACCACTGGCTTCGTGGATTTTGCTAGATTTTTCTGATTTTTAAACTCCTGAAAAATATACCAGATAACTGTCATGAAGCTGGTAACTATCTTCCTGCTGGTGACCATCAGCCTTTGTAGTTACTCTGGTAAGTAACTGGAATACATCTGGCATATATGATATTTATCTACTTTTCTGTTAATAAGAGCACAACCAGTAAGCTTTGCCTCACTGACAGTGGAATATGGTGGTAGGAATTTTATTTTTTTATTTTATTTTTAACTGACACATAATAATTGCACATATTTGCAGGTTTGGAAGAAGTTTTGGAATCACAGAAAATGGTGATGTTGGAAAGTATTTCAGATCCCCACCATCTAAGCTCTAACCCAATATAAGTATTCTAATACATCTTACATAGGAAGTTAGCCAACTTCCACAGAGGGTCAACAAAGCACATTTCACTGCTGGGTATTGGTCACCATTAGTTTTTCTTATTTTCCTCAATTTTGAGTTAAAATTTGACTTTATAATTTATTTTGTGCTTTTGAACTATATGGAGTCATTCTTGCTATCATCTCCAGTTATCCAACTTCCTAGCTTAGTTCTCCTGAGATAGCTACGTTCATCTTTTCATCCACTCAAAGGATATTTATTGAAAGGCTACAATTTTTTGAGCACTGGATATGCATTGGAAGATTTAGACATGAATCAGCCATGAACATTGTTCTTAAGGTGCTAGTCTGGTAGGGTAGATAAGGCTTCTACCAAAGTTACTCTAATTCTAGACTACTGTAAATGCACTGTGAGATAGCCAGATAGAACTCTGTAAGTGTATTGGTGGGTGATGAGTTTAATTTTCAGGTAAGGGTATAGAAGCTGGCTTCTTGGAGGAGAATGGGAACTGCTTTTTTTGGGGGGGAGTTGGGGGAATCATTGTAACTATCAGGAAGATAGTTTGGGTATGTGGGAAAAAAAGATTTCATGACGGCCACTGCTCATTGAGAGAACTTTAAAAGGCTTTGAAGACCTTCTCCCAGGAAGCTGTAAATACATACAGAGAAGATATATACCAAAATGTCTGAAATAAGAAGTATGGAGATTAATAATTGATTGCTGTCCACACCTACACTGACAACTTTGACTTGTGATGTTTATTTAATTTCTGAAGGAATTTGTAAGTTCACCAGTTTTGGATATTTCATTATTCCCTAGTGTCCAGGGACAGGTATCTATGGGCAAAAGTGATGCAGAAAGGAGGTGGGGAAAATAAATATCACCCCCTCTGGGTGAGAATTTTGGAGGGACAATAGGCAATAGAAAATGGAAAAAAAAAAAAGATGTACAGGCTCCATTTTAATAATTTGGATAGGGAAATAATAGGTTTCCAAAGGAAAATAAACTATGGCAGGTCTTAGCCAGAAGGAGAATGTGTGTTCTTACATGTGTGCTCACATACATGTGTACATTTATATATCTGCACGTTTTTGTAAAAATATATATCATACATATTTTCCTCAATCTCTACTTTTCCCCCCATTCATCTTCTATGGGAAAGTTATCTTTCTAAAGCCAAAGATATAAAATATAATTTTCCTATGTTAAAGCCTTGATAGCACCCCACTGCCCTCAGGAAAAAAAAATCCAAACTCCTTTGTGTGACATCCAACAGTTTAAAAAATCTGACTTCACTCAACTTTTGCAGCCTCACTCCCTTTATCTTCCATCCTTTGGTCATAGCCTATTGTAAATCTGCACTCCAGCCTTCTGGGCAGAAGGCTCACCATCCTGTGTATGCACTTTCATCCTAACATTTCCGTGCCTGTATCGGTCATGTTTCTAAAATGCTTCTCCTCTTGTTTACCTTATGATCCTGACATTTGCCTCAAGACATAGCTCTAACAACACTTCTGGAAAATTCCTGCAGCACTTTCTCATGTTTGAATTAGTCATCCCTTCCTTGTGTTTCCATAGAGCTTTGTCCATAATGTTAGCATAGCACATGCTACACTGTGGCATACACAGATCTTTATTGCCAACTGGACTGTGTGAAGTCTCTGAATGGGCATCCTTGTCCTATTTGTCTATGTATCTGCATAGACTAGCATAGAGTTTGTGCTCAATTATGTTTGTAGTGTTGAGTTGTATTGGTTGGGAGCAGTTTCTTGGGCTGTGGTTGGGTCTATTCCTGTCCTTATGTGGAGATTCACTATGGCATCTCCCCTTTAGCCTCAAAGCTGTGAGCTGTGGAGATAGCCACATACAAAATATCTTCCTTTCAGTCAATCACAAGGATCCGTTGAATGCTTACTCTGTGCCAGGGTCAGTTCTAGGCATGGGTGCAGTAGTGAACAAAACATACATTCCTTGATGTCATGGAGCCTCCATTCTAATGAGACAACAAGGACAATAAAAATAGCAAATGAAGAGTTGTTTTTTTAGGAAATGGTAAGAAAAAATAAGTGATGGAGAGTGACAATGGCCATTGCAGGTTTCTCTGAGGAGGTAACATTTGAAGAGAGACCAAATAATGTGAGAAAGAAAGGTATGTAGCTAGCTGAGGAAAAAAAGTTCTAGGGAGATGGAACAGCAGGTGCATAGGGCCAGAGGCAGAAGTTTTTAATGGAAGTAAGATGAGTGGATCTGGAATGGACCTATTGATGGACACAGAGAAAGATGATGAGGTCATAGTCTGGGCCCGGATGTGCCTGTCTCACCTGGTTTCTCTTTTGCCTGCAGCTACTGCCTTCCTCTTCAACAAAGTGCCCCTTCCTGATGACAAGTTGGTACCTTTGCCTCTGGACAACATTCCTCACCTTATGGATCCATTAAAGCTTCTTCTGAAAACTCTGGGCATTTCTGTTGAGCACCTTGTGGAGGGGCTAAAGAAGTGTGTGAATGAGCTGGGACCAGAGGCTTCTGAAGCTGTGAAGAAACTGCTGGTAACCACAGCTTGGGAGGCTAATCTGCCAGAGGGGAGGGCGTAGTCACCCTGAATGTCTACCTCATCCTCTTGGCACTTGTAAATGTGCATTTCCACTTTACTGATTACACTCATAGGAAGTTTGCATGTCCTTGAATGTCAGGAAAAATATGATTTCTACATTTCTGGGAAGGGTTTTGAATGACAGTGACTTGTGTTATAGTTGTGACATTACCATTTAGCTGAGACGTAATCACTCTGAGTTTTTGTTTCCCCATCAGTAAAATGGTGGCCAACAGGATACTGGAAGTGAGTATTTTTCGAAACATGCAAATTACATGTAAGCTGCTCTAATTTTTGTTGTCTTTCTGCCTTTCAGGAGGCGCTATCACACTTGGTGTGATGTCAAGATAAAGAAAGAGCAGAGGTGGCTGGGGATGGAGGATGATGCTCCTATCTTCCCTGGCTGAAATGCATTCTACCAATTATAGACTAAATGCCCTAAAATGTAGTGACCCGTGAAAAGGACAAATAAAGCAATGAATAGATTCAGTAGTCCTGTTTTTATTTCTGGGGACTCTATTCAGAAGGACATACCCAGACTAGTTTTTCCTTGGTTCATAAATTCGAGAGAGCCTGTTTTTACAAAGAAAACCTGGAATCTTAAGTAAGACATAACGATTCCTTCTCCTTTCCTTATCTCTAAATTAAACATCTCTATTTTTCCCAACTGTTTTTTATCTCACGGTGTTTCCAGACCCTTCACTTTCCTATCCCCCAGCCCAAATAAATGTTTACATTTAAAAAATGAAAAAATAATTTTCAAAATATTGTCTGATAAGACTAGCATCTTACTATCTTAATTGGTTTGGCTTCTGTTTCACTAGAATGCTAGTTTTTATTAAGTTTGTAGTTAAGCTATGGCCACTCAATAGCTTTCACTGATCCTTCCACCAAGTTGGACCTTTACTACATTATCCTTAGGCAAATGGGTGAGGAACTATCTTTTCTTTCCTCTACTCTGTCATCTGCAATGATGACAGAATTATCCTTCCAAGGAATTATTCTGGTAATATCATGACAGCCTGTAGAGTAGATTTCAAGCTTCTGAGCATGGCATGCAAGGCTATTCATGATCTGGCCTTCGGTTACACATCTAGTCTTCTTATCTACGTTCCTTTCTTCACATGCGCTCTACTCCAGCCGCATTGAACAGATAACTAAATCCTTTTCCCTCTAACATTCTTACACCTTAATGAAAAATCAAGTTTCTTCCTACCTAGAATGTCTGCCGCCATCGGCTTTGAGACCTGGCCTGTGCCAGTCTTGGGACTGTTTGCTGTTAGATCCATTTCCTACCCTTCCCCTGCTCTGCTCTGCTCTGTGTTGAGAAAGGATAGGAGACATGATGCTGATTGCTGCAGCTTGCATTTCTCAGGTTCCCAAATCAGCTGACATTTGGGCTAGGTTCTGCCCCTGGGAGGTGTAGGCAGTAGATAGGAAGTAGGAAAAGAGGAGAACTATTGTGTGGCCCTTTCTGGCTCTGTATTTGGGAGAAGTCTCTGGAAATGGCTGTACCATGTCTGAGGCTCCAGGTCCTGCTAGATAGGCCTGTCTTGGTCCCAGCTTTTGCTGGGTGAGTCCAGCCTCTGGGCTCTGGTTACACCACCTCCTTTCTTTTTCTCTCTACCTGAAGTTGTTAGTGGTTTCCTCTTGTTGTCAGTTTCTGGGTGCCTCACCATCACCGAGTTGACTTTTTAGTTCTTCTAATGTCTATTCGATCAATTCTTTGCATTACATTCCTTCTGTTCTAAGTACTTTGAGTAATTTCTGTTTCTTCATTGGTTCTTGACTAAGACGATGTTAAATGTTATCTCTAGGGATATTATCTTATTTTTCCTGCCATTGCTTGACTTCTATTTTTTGGCAACTAAAATAGTTTTCACTTTGTGAAATTTTCTATTTTATTTCCTTATTTTATCTATGTCTATAATGATAGATTAGGTTGCCCAGTTGCAGTAACAAATAATCCCAAATCGCAGTGGCTTATGTGCACAGTGTTTGACTTGTTCCTCACACTATATGGCCATCTTTGGTTGGCTGTAGCTATGATCAATGTTTTATGAATTCTATAACCGGAGCTGATGGAATAGTCTATCTTGAGCATTTCACTTATTGTGTTTACAGGGAAAGAGAACTTGGTGAACCATGAGCTAACTCTTAAAGCTTCTTCTTAAAAGTGAAGTATATGACTTCCAATCATGTTTAATTGGCCAGAGCAAGTCATTTGACCATGTTTGACTTCTTTAGGAAGGGGATGTATAATTATCCTATAGGAAAGAGCTGTGCCAAATATGATTAATGTAATGTAATTGACCACATTACTTGATGACTTCAAAGTAATTGTCATCTTAGATGCCTCTATCGTACTTGCAATTTTCTTTTCTATTGAATTATATGCCGTCTTTCTTCCTACCTTAGTTTTCTGCTATTTGACCATTATTTTTCAGTTTCTTTAAATGGCCCTTATTATTTTTGACTTCGCTTGAATGTTGATACCTCCAAAGATTCTAAACTTGATACCCCTTCTATTTTTACTCTGTGTATAAACTTTATTGGGGAATCTTATGTATTACCATGGATGCCAATATAATCTTTATGTTAGAAACTCCAAAATCTATGGCTACAGTCTGTATCTTTTTTTAAAAAAAGAAGAGATTCAGTTACCTATAGGACACCTCCGAGGGATGCTCTTTTTTAGGTTGAACTCAACACATTTTTACCTGAACTCATTGTCTCTTTCAAAACACATTCCTGTGTTCTAATTTGCTATTCAGTTTATAGAGTGCAGACATTTTCATGGTTGCCTGAGACAGAGACTTGGGAATAATCCTAAGTACTCCCTGTTGTCAGCCTCCTTTCTGATTGGTAGGAAAGACTTCTTATTATAAACCCTTTTCACATCTACTGCACACATTTTTCATGATCACCACTGGTACTGTTCTTAAAACTTTGTTCTTTCCTTCCTTCCTTCCTTCCTTCCTTCCTTCCTTCCTTCCTTCCTTCCTTCCTTCCTTCCTTCCTTCCTTCCCTTCCTTCCTTCCTTCCTTCCTCCCCTCCCTTCCTCCCTCTCTCTCTCTCTTCTTTCTTTCTTTCTTTCTTTCTTTCTTTCTTTCTTTCTTTCTTTCTCAACAACCCCCAACAACAACAACAACAACAACAACCCAACAACTTAGCATAACAACAACAACTTTCTCTCTCTCTCTCTCTCTCTCTCTCTCTCTCTCTCTCTCTACTCTCTCTCTCTCTCTCTCTCTCTCTCTCTCTCTCTCTCTCTCTCTCTCTCTCTCTCTCTCTCTCTCTCTCTTTCAGACAAAGTCTCACTCTAGCACCCAAGCTGAAGTGCTATGGTGCCATCACAGCTCACTGCAGCCTGGACCTTCTGGGCTCAGGTGATCCTCCCACCTCAGCTTCCGGAGTGGCTAGGACTATAGGCACATACCATCATGCCTGACTAATGTTTTTTGTATTTTTTTTAGATACCGCGTTGCCCGGGCTAGTCTTCAAGTCCTGGCTCAAGCGATCCTCCTGCCTCAGCTTCCCAGAGCTGGGATTAGAGGCATGAATCACTGTTCCCAACTGCAGATCCTGCCATTTCCCTTCAAACTACTGAATTAATCTCTCAGGTGACCTTTGTATTCCCAAAGGTCCCCTTCTAATCCATCAGCCACACACACAGAAGGAGCCTTCCTAAAATACAGGAATTATCCCCCAACTTCAAACTCATCCATAGTTTTTTAATGCTGATTGAAAAAAAAAAAGACACTACATTAAATCAAGAGACACATTAATAATAATATAAGTTTAAACATATTTGTTTTCATACTTATTTCAAAGTCTCTTTTCTAGACTGTGAAGTTAAATGGTTAGTGACTCTAATGTACGTGTCTGTATCCTCAGGACATTGCATAGAGTCTGAAGATAGTCAGTGTTGGTTCTGTTGAATAAATGGGTTTGTTTCTCTTAAGTTGTATCTGATTGGGTTGGCCCCTTTGTTTTGTTCCACCAGTCATATTATTAAACCACTCACTGCTCTCTCTCCCAGTGTTTTGCATATTTGCGGAGGATGCCTCTCTATGCTTTCACCAAGATATTAAATGGAAAAGTCTAGGGATAAAGTTCTCTGCCACTGTACTCTAAGTAATAGCGGCAATCAGGCAATTTAGTGGGTTGGAAGGTTTTTTTTCCAGGGGTGTATCAAAGAGAGCGATTAAGAAGGAATCTGGGGACAAATTATGTTTGGGAAGCCAGGCAGAAACTGATGAGAAACATTATCATAAAAGTGACAACACCAAATGCTGGTGAGGATGTAGAGAAACTGGATCACTCACACATTGCTGGTGTGAAAGTAAAACAGTACAGCCACTGTGAAAAAATAATTTGACATTTTCTTAAAAAATTAAACATGCAACTACCATAAAATCCAGTAATTGTACTCTTAGGCATTCATCCCAGGGAAACAAAAACTTATGTTTATGCAAAAACCTGTACACAAATGGTCATAACAATTTTATTTTTAGTAGCCAAAAACTGGAAACAACACAGTTGTTCTTCAGCGGATGAATGGATAAACTTTTGTATATCTTTGTAATGAAATACTATTCAACAAAAAAGGAAAACAAACTATATACACAGTAACCCAGTGCATCCTTAAAGAATTACGCTAAGTGAAAAAAAGTCAAACCCCAAAGGTTAAATTCTGTATAATTTTATTTATGTAACATTCTCAAAATGACAAAATGATAGAAACAAAGAACAAATTTGTCATTTCCAAGGGTTGAGGAGAGGGTAGGGGCAGGAGGGAAGTGAGTGTGCTATGTAAGGGCTGTGTGAGAGATCCTTATAGGGACAGAGCTGTTCTGTGTCTTGCCTGTATCAATGTCAGCATACTGGTTTTGATATAGTAGCATAGCTTTGCAAGATGCTACCGCTGGAGGAAACTTGGTAGAAAATATGCTGGATTGCTCTGTATGATTTCTTAAAACTTCATGTGAATCTATAATTATCTTAAAAAGTTTAAAAATTGTTTTAAAGATAATCAGAATATAGAAATATATAATACACATATAATTATATGGAATATAATTAACATAGATTATATATAACTATAATGGCATACAACTATAATTATATATAACTCTAATTACATATATGCACATATGTAACTTTCATCTTCATCCATAAATTTCAAAAATTAGAGAAAACCACAGTTCACCTTTCGATATGCTTTTTTCAAGACATTTTCTAAATATTTACAAATATATATGAATGATACATTGCATATATGAATGACACACACCTTATTTAAATTGTTGTCTATGCGAATATTTAATTTATGTAACATATATTATATTGTTTCTAATATCTAATTTTAAAATATTTTTTGTTATTATACAAAGTGCTATAGTGAACTTTCATACATTTGCATACATTTTTGTCTTTATGTCTTCAGAAACATTTCGGAAGTGGAAGTGCAAGGTCCAGAATTATATGATGTCTAAAATTTTGATAACTAGTCACACATTTCAATTGGAAAGAACAGTTGGTATCTCAGGTGACTGAGGTCAGAGAAGTGCCATTTCCAAAGATGGGATTAGGGACCCGAGACAATGCCTAGGGTATTGTTGTTCTCCCTGAGCTAGCTGTAAATCCCTTTTTATTATGTGCTGGAGGGTCAGGCCATGCAAGGTATGAATTATATGATTTCTGAGTTTCATGTCTAAGACAGGCAATACAAACAGACAGGTACGTACAATTTATTTGCTACATTATTTTTTATTTTAGAAAGCAACCAGATGAAGAACTCTCAGGCTACTGAGGCAGGTTAAAGACAGCAGAGGGCGCTCATAGGTTATTAGCAAAATCAAGAAAAACATTTTGTATATCTGCAAGGTAGGTAATAAGAAATATCAGCATCTTCTATTGCATTCAGTTTTTCATTGGGGATTCACAACTAAATGGCAACTATCTGATGCTCCCCCTTTCTAGTAACTACCTCTGACTTCATTTCAAGCATTGCTAAATGGTGCATTCTTTGTTCTGTCATTAACTGTCTCATTATCAAATGAGAACTTGTTTTCTGATACTGACAATGACCATAATAACAGTGATAGCTATTAGTCATTCATTGTTTCCTCTATATATTTTTGATTCAACAAATAATTATTGTATATTGATTGCAGGATTTTGCTGGACAGGAAGCATAGAGTAATAAATTGTCATGACCCATATCTCCATAGATTTTACAATGTAAAGGGAGAGATAGAAATCACACAAATAAACATGGGTAAAAGGATAATTATGTTATCCTTTTTTTTAAATTATAAGTTATGATTATAACAATAAAGGAAAAGAATAGGATCCTAAGAAAGGATAGTGACAAGAGATTCCCTGTTTATTTTAGGTCATTTCTATGGACATGCCAAGTTGGGACTTGAGGTTGGAAGACCCATCTTAACCAAATAATATTCTGTGTGGAAGGTACTGAGTGTGTGAATATCCTGAGGATAAGGAGAACCTGGCTTCTTCAAAGAACTGAAATGCCACCTGTGTGGCTGTAGCCCTGGGAGCAGGAGCACAGGGATGCAAAGCAAGGTCAAACGATGCATTGGGTATCATGGTCATGGCACCGTTTTTATCCTAAGAGCCCAGGAAAGCCTTGGGAAGTTTTGTATCCAATGTTCTCCATATACTTGAGTGGCAACACTGCATATCCACTTGCATTAGTTAGACTCCTACGAGTCATTCCTGATACTTCCCTCTCCCTGACACGTCATATTGAACTAACACCATGTCCTGTCAACCTAATGTCTTAATATCCTCTTGAATCCTTCCACATGGTTCTGTCTGCATTGACACTCCCTTGCTCAAGAACTTCTTGGCTGGCTTCCTGCTTTACTCTGGACCCCTCCGTCTAGCCTGCACAACAGCCAACTGATCTTTTAAAAATGCAACAATGATCATATGTGTTCCAATGCTTAAAACCCTTTGGTGGCTTTCCATTGTTCTTGGATTTAAGAATAAAATCCTGACTATGACCTATGAGGTCCTGTAAGACTTACTTTCTTCCCTAACTCTCATTTTCTTTCCGGTCACCTTGACCTTCCTTCATGGCTAGAGCACAATATACCTGGCACAGGACTTTTGCAAAGACCATTCATTCAACTATAAATGCCTCTTTTCCTTCATTGCCTTATGAATTTTGTCCTATTCAACCACTTTATTATTTCTTTTTTGAGATCTCAGCATATGTCTTAGGAACTTTCCCTCACCCAGTTGTTATACATTTGTGACAGCTTCCAAGAGAACCATCTTCCTTCCTTCCCTAGCAAGTCTCTCAAAACATAATTATAGGTTTATGTAGGATTATTTGATGATTATTTGTATCTCCCATTTATTTGTGAGCTCCAAGATTGTTCAGTATTTAAATTGTGTGGTTTTGGGAGTATATACATATGTTAAAATTCTTTTAAGTGTTTACTTTAAATGCATGCCGTTTTTGTACATCAATTATAAGTTTAGAAAATTAGTCATATGCTGTGAGTCAATAAAAAGTCCATTTGGGCCAATAAGGGAATGGCTACATTTTGAAGGTTTTTTCACAATATCCATCAGCATTTTAAAAAATGTCCTTTGATTTCACAATTCGATTTTTGAAAATCTTTTATAAAAACATTAAACAAAAATATTTATATACAAATATTAGTGCACATACTTATACATGTAAGCATGTTTATTGCAGAATCCTTTGGAAAGCTGAAAAATAGAAACAATATGAAAGTCTATCAATAGGGAAATTATGAGCTATTGAATAGCTTTTTAAAGATTTCTATCTCTTTACCTAAACTAAATGCCACGAGAAATTATTCAATAAGACAATCAAGCTGCAGAGTAAAGCACTCGTCCAAACCCCACTCTACATGTGAATATGCTTGGATATGTCTGAATAGTCAGGGACAACAGCATCAATATTGGTTGCTGATATGACTGGTTTGGGGATAATGGGATTAATATGGGAGATTGTTAACTTTTAAAAGCATATACACATTTACATATTCCCCTCATTTTTCCCTCTCACATGGTGAGTATATACCACTTTAATAATTTTTGAATCTCAGTTTTGAAGAAAACATTTTGCCAATTAGTACACATTAAAAAGTAATTCCTCTCACCTAGGTAATGGGTTGATAGGCGCAGCAAACCACCATGGCACACGTTTATCTATGTAACAAACCTGCACGTCCTACACATGTATCCCAGAACATAAAATAAAATAAAAACTTTTAAAAGAAAGTAATTCCTCTCACTCTCAAAATAAATACAAAAGGAAATCAGTCACCCAGACTTTTGTTCAAGTTTGGCTCCAGCGTTACCCAGTAATCTTGTCAGATTCTCAATTGCATCATTTCAAAAGGGAATAATCATATCTAATTTTTGTACTAAATATGAGGATTCAATGAGGTAACATTTAAGCGGGATCAAGTGTGGAAGGTATTCTAATGAAATCTGTTTCTTAAGAAAGGTAGGTACGTTTGAAGGATTGTAGGGCCATCCTTGAATGTCAAGAATTGCCATAGTCAGGGTTTTGGTTTAAGCTTTCTTCTGTGACTGAAATGCCCTTCCTTCTCCTTCTCCATATCTTCAAATCCTTTATCATCCATCAAGTCATGGATCAAATATTATTACATCAAAGAAATCTTTCCAGATTTCTGAGGGAGCATGAATGGTTCTTTGTGCTGGTTCCCATGTTCCCATGTCTGTGCCTCTGTTATGCTATGCCCTGTTGAGTATGTTTAGTTGGTTATGCACACATATGTTCTGCATCAAGACTGTGAGCTACTTGAAAGCAAAAATCGTGGGATATTCAACTGTGTACCCTTACTATCTTGCCCTTGGCTAGAAGCTCTATGATTTAAATTTCTTCGCTTTTTGCAAAATACAAGAATAGGCAGAAAAAGGAATGAAATAAATCAAGATTTAACATTGTGTTAAAAGATATGTATTTAAAAATATATATCCATAGGGGAAAAAATTAAGCAGCCAAAGAAGATAGACATATTAGGGTAGATGACGCAGTTTTAAATAAAGTGATCAAGGGAGGCTTCACTGAGAAGGTGATATTTAGGAGAAGACCTTAAAAAATGAAGGAGCAAGCCATGTAGCCATCTTGGGAAAGGGTAATTTAGGCACAGGGAAGAGGAAATTTAAGGTCCTATAAAAAGAACATACTTGGACTGTTTAAAGACTGACAAGGATCCCAATATGGCTGGAGTGAAAAGAAGAAAAATAATGAGTAGGAGGAAGGAAGGGAAGTAAATAGCTCAGATAGGATCTTTGCCACCATTGTAAAGAAATTTTAAAACGTAGCATTTGCTTCAAAAGAGATGGGAAATGACAGAAAGAATTAATCTGAATTGAATTCTATTTAAATGGAATTACTCTATCTACTCAGCATTTCTGTAAAAAGCTAGGTGTAAATTCCCTCAAGTACTTGAGTCATGATAGAAAGTTTGGGATTTGGGACAGAATAGTGATGATGTAGATTGTGTCCTCAGCATGTCACAGGGGACTTCTCTGCTGGGAGTTCGACACACCTGATTGGAACTCCCACGTAGCCTCTAGCAGTTTTGGTATCTCAGGCATGACACCAGTTAGCCTCCCTGAGCCTCAGTTTCTTCACCTGTCACATGCAGAAAACAGTGCCTCCCCAACTCAATTCAATCACATTGCGGTTATGAGGTTACAAGGAGATAATAGTGCGAAAGGGTCGCAAAAGAAAAATTCTATGGAGATGAAAGAGATTCTTGATCTTTAAGAACAGGTGTACCTGCTGGCTGCAGACACGGGTCTTATTGAAGGGTAGGGGAAGAAGGCAATGAAGGGGAGGAAGAGGAAACACACATTGTAAAGCAGTTGGGAAATCTTCAAAATCTCTATAGATCATTGGAGATCTTTGTTGGCGACCTGTTAGGAATTTACCGAATCCCGTATTGATATGGCACTTTCCCAATCCCCAACATGAAAAAGTGATTTCAAAGTGTACAACAGACAGGTGAAGATAAAGGCAGAAAAGTTCTGGTAGAGCGTGTTTCTCATATATAGGTAGTGTATTAATTAATATAGTTGTAGTAAATGCGTTATCCAGGCAGAAATCAGTGAGTCAATATCGGAAAAGAGATTTTGCAGCCACATTTGTTGGGGAGAAGTAGTTTGTGTGCCAGATGCTGAATATAATAGACATCCTAGGTAATTTAGTTAAGTGGGATGTGCTATTTGAAATGGACACAATCCCTAGAAACGGCAGTGTGAGTTGTCTGAATTTACTGTAGAAAGTAACATGCATTTTTCAACATTTGGTAGACATTCACTCTTGGTTTGTCTACCTGTATTATTATAATTCTTTTTGCTGCATGCAGACCTCTTCTGGCTAAGTAAAAACAGGAAGACAGACAAACAAACAAAAGATTTATTAAACATACACTTGAGTTACTTCCAGAGTTTCTGTGTTTGGGAAGGACAAAACTCAAGATAGTTTTTGAGAACTCAGCAGAAGCAGCACATAGAAACATAGAAACTTTATTCTAGATTCGATCACTGCTTTAATTGGCATCTTGCTCCATGATAAGATTTCAGTCTTGTCTTACTGTCTGCGTTAAATAATTCTGGGAGAATACTGTATTTCTAGCTCTGCTGTCACATTTTCCTTCTGGTAAGTGGGCAAGAACCACAGCCATGGCTGCAGAGGATCCACCTCTGTGTAATAAGGTGGTGGCATGAAAGGGCTGCACTAAACATTTCGAGGACTCTTCCATCCCTGACACTGCTATTCTATGAGAAAAATAGTGACTCTGGGGGAAGGCAATGATTTTACTAATTTTAAAAAGTCGGTTTTTAAGTTTACTAGCATAGGAGAGTGGGCTCAGATAGTTTTAAAACACTTTCCAAAAAAGATGTGTAAAACTTTTAACTCTGAAGCTGCATACATTTTTAGGAGTTGAGAGCTTGTTTTGAGGTCAGGTTTTATTTCTCTTTCTGTCACTCATTGCCTCTATGAATTTGAACTTGCTACATTATCTGGGCTTTAGTCCTCCTATTTTGAACCATTCTTTGATTATCCGTTTGAATATATAAACATATAAATATTCACCAGGATATATATATATATATTTGCATCATTAAAACTTTAAACATGGCCAGAAAAAATTACTAATAGCAACACGAATCTTCTCAATCAACTATGTGATCCCAAAGCGCCATATTTATTCTAACTTTCTAAAAGCAAAAATGCAGTCCGGGTGTTCAAAATGAGTTCTGTTTGGTTGAAGCCAGAGCCTGAATCCTGAGAACTCGCTGGGTGTTGCTTTGAGGGCTCTGTCCCGGAGGACTTGTGAAGCAGAACTGGAAAAGCAGGATTTGGCTGCTCTTGGATTGTCCAGGAGCCACATGGGTGTGTCCTTTGAAACACAAGTCAAAGAGAGGAAAGCAATTAACGAGTAGAGAGGATTTAAGATGTTAAATAAACCAAAGAACTTTTAACCTTTTCCTTAAAATTTTTATGCTTCTGCACTATAAAATAGAAGAGGTTTCATAATAAAGTCAACTATAATACATATTTAAGGAAATAAGCAACAACAACAACAAAAGGAAAAATTCCAAGTGTATAAAGAACAGAAACAAGAATGAAGGGAGAATGTGCATTGAATAAATCCCTAAGGATAAGCTGAGTCACCAGTTTTACTGAGTTTCTGGATAGATAGATGATGAAAAAGAAAAAACTAAGTCACATAAATCTTTTCTTTTTTTGAGACAGAGTCTTTCTCTGTCACCCAGGCTGGAGTGCAGTGGCGCGATCCTGGCTTACTGCAGCTTCTGCCTCCCAGGTTCAAGTGATTCTTCTGCCTCAGCCTCCTGAGTAGCTGGGACTACAGGCACCCGCCACCATGCCTGGCTAATTTTTTTGACTTTCACGGTGTTAGCCAGAATGGTCTCTATCTCCTGACCTTGTGATTTGCCCGCCTCAGCCTCCCAAAGTGATGGGATTATAGGCATAAGCCATAGTTTCACTCTTGTTGCCCAAGCTGGAGTGCAGTGGCTTGATCTCAGCTTATCACAACCCCTGCCTCCCGGATTCAAGCAATTCCCCTGCCTCAGCCTCACAAGTAGATGGGATTACTGGCACATGTCGCCATGCCTGGCTAATTTTGTATTTTTAGTAGAGGAGGGGTTTCTCCATGTTGGTCAGTCTGATCTCGAACTCCTGACCTCAGGTGATCTGCCCGCCTCGGCCTCCCAAAGCGCTGGTATTACAGGAGTGAGCCACCGTGCCCAGTTGTCACATAAATCTTACAAGCAGAAAAGAGGAATCTGACTTCAGGGAAGGCATTTTTTTTTTTTCTTGCCTAATTTCTAAAAGAAAAATTTTTCATAAGACTTCATGAAAGGGTTACAAGTGACATTGTGGCCAAGGGTGGTTTTGCTCATCCGGTGCATTGGAATTTCCTGTCTGACTTACTTATTCCTAGATCGCTCCCTAGGAAGTTCTGACGGAGCCAGTCTAAGCATAAAAATCTAGTGTGTCCTGTAGTAGATTTTGTCTTAATCCGAAACACTTGTATAGAAATTAAGAATTCATAAAGTGACTTTCTATTCATTACCTCTTTTGATAATTTTAGTAATCTAGTGAGGTTCATCCAAATTTGTTTTTATGCAGGAAAGAAAATTTATACTTAAAATATCAAATGACTTAAGACACACAAAAAAGATGACTTGAATTCATATGATTTTAAACAATGCAGGACAAGTGGAGTTAAAATTTTAAGTCTATTGAAAATATTAAGGCCAGTAAAAATCATGCCAATGTTGTTCAGTACAGGTTGAGAGGCTCTCAGATGAAACCAGGTATTCAGTTATTGGATATTTTTCCAAATACTGTACCTCTCTCTACTTGTCATATCAGATAGTGTGTAGAATCTCTTCTCTCAGAGTTCACCTTATTTGTAGAGCATTCATAATGCTTATCCCTTCCTCCAGATATTCTTTCTTATCTTTTCCAAGGCATTCCCAAGGCCCCTTTATACATAACTTTATCATTTCCTTCCACAGTTATGAGATACACAGAGCTACATGATTGCTGAGTCCATAAACTTCTCAATAGCCAGCTAGGTTTTCATTTTAGTAGCATTGACTGATTGACATTGTAGGTATGGATTAAAGAAGAGTTAAAGAAACTTGTTAAAAAAAAAATAAGGGAGGGATTGGCTGGGTGTTGTGGCTCACACCTGTAATCCCAGCACTTCGGGAGGCCGAGGCGGGTGAATCACTAGGTCAGGAGTTCGAGACCATCCTGGCCAACATGGTGAAACCTCATCTCTACTAAAGAAAATGCAAAAATTAGCCAGGCACGGTGGTGCACACCTGTAGTCCCAGCTCTTGGGAGGCTGAGTTAGGAGAATCACTTGAACCCACGAGGCAGAAGTTGCAGTGAGCCGAGATGGCACCACTGCACTCCAGCCTGAGCAACTGAGTGAGACTCCATCTCAAAAAAAAAAAAAAGATCAATGTTGATCAGAGAAACATAAGATCTATCTATCCTACCATCTATCTTAATTTAGGAAATTCTAGCTGCACCCCGTGTCTCATACCTATAATCCCAACAGTTTAGGAGGCTGAGGTGGGCAGATCACTTGAGGCCAGGAGTTCGATACCAGCCTGGGAAGCATGGTGAAACCCTATCTCTACTAAAAATACAAAAATTAGTCTCTTCCTTAGTTGCTTCCTTCTCCTTAGTTTAATGGTTTTTTTTTTTTTTTTTTTGTTTTTTTTTTTTACATCCCTAGATTGAGCCATTCCTCCCGGCTCATCAGGGCATCTTAAATTGATTCATGCATCAATTCCAATTTTTTCATATGCAGTTAAAAAAATATATGGTATTAAGATTCCCTATGTTTTAAAAATTCATAAGGAGAAAAGTGGGGCTCAGGCAGGTAAAGTGGCCTGACCATGGTTACATAACCATTAAGTGGCTGATTTAGAAGTTGAACTTACATCTTGTCTATGTCTTCTGCTCTTTCTGCTCCTCCATGTGGCCTTGCCTATTGGACTACATCATAGACCAGACCTGTAGGATGTACTCTAAGGATCTGGGGTGTGGGGTCCAAAAATTATAGGTGTGTACCAGAAGCCTGAATGAAGGTAAAGTATTAGGACACCTGCAAGAAGAGGGAGACTGTTCTCTGAGAAGATGGGAATGAAAACATACAAACAGAAGTGACTGAGTTTAAAAGCTTAATTGGCCTTAGGGTAAGAATCAGAAGTGTCCGGGTTGGGTATGTTTTGATTTCAATACCCAAGCCTGATTCTCATCCTCAGAAGCGGATGGGAAAGGGTGGACTAAGTTCTGGGGGAATACAATAGTAGCTTTCTGAACTTACATTAATCACAGCCAGATTATGAAATGGACCCAACAGGGAAAAGGAGTATTTCCAGACCAGATCACAAACAGAAGTTGGGAAAGGCCACACTTCCTGAATATGCATATAGAGTAACTCAACTGAGCAAAGGAGCAGTGTTGTATTTCTATGAACATCTTGAGGTATGTCTTAGATTGCTTAGCTTAATCATTATTCTCCGCTGCCTTCTCCTATACTATTCTGCTCTGTTCTCCAGTAGCACCATGGCTTAGAGATACAGCACAGGCCCTGGAATCAGGCTGCTTGAATTCAAATTCTGTCTTCCTCCTTTACTAATATAGCCACATTAGCAAACCTCCCTGAGCCTTTATGTCCTTATTTATAAAATTTAAGAATAATAATAATCCCTTGCATAGGGATTATGAATTAAATTAAATACTACATAGCACTTAGTCATTAATCACTTAGCTTAATGCCTAAAACAGAGTAAGAACACCGTTCATACCAGTTACTAATATTACTACTTTTCCAGATCTAACACTTCTGTGTTTATATTTCAATATGCATTTTCAGGAGAGAGCTGAGTAGGGAAAAACAAGTATTTCTGAGCACTCAAACTATGTTGTTTGCCCATAAATCTAATTGCGTGAGATAGAAAGTTTGTTATCCTTTTTCTTTGAATTAGATTCAGCAAATTTCACTCTTTTCATGAGTAACTAACTGCGTGACTACATGGGTCCTTAGATTGTTAGTGCATGCTAGCCCTCATTTCACAGGCTGAACTTGTACAAAGCAAGTTTCTAGCAGAGTTGTGAAGGAACTAGGTCTCCAAACTTGCCATCCTTATTCACTTCATCTCACAGTTGTACCTCCTCTCTTAAGAAAATTTTATTATTAGACACTTGTACTTGATAAAAGTACATTCATTGAAGATTAATTTAAAAAAACTACAGTAAGAATTTTTTTAAATATACTTTTTCTGCTTATAGGTAGACATGGGTACCCAAAATTATTAAATAAAACTAGACAGACCCTTTTTCGTTTGTCCAATACACTGTTATTTCAGTTGTAAATTTTAAGTGAAAAATCACCTGAGGATGTCACTTTGATGAATGCTTTCCTTGATTATCATCAAATTCCATAAATCCTCTTGAGAAAAAAAGAGAAAATAAGAATTACAATTCAGACTGAACAGGAGTGTTAGAATGATCACAAAGGTGCTGTATGATGTTTGAGCCGTACTGTTCTTCTCTAGATTTTTCTATGTCAGAAAGAAATAAGACCTAAAATTTCCACATAGTTCATAGTGGACAAGCAATTTATGCATAATTATCCTTTTGAACCTGCCAACAAACCCATTAGTTAGGCATCTATTCACATGTACACTCCATAAAGGCATATATTTTGGTATATTTTTTCAGTAATATATTCCCAGCACCTAGAACAGTGCATGGAAAATAGTAGAAATTAATAAATATTTATTGAATGCATTTTTATTGTCTCTTTTTATGTGTGAGAAAACCTTTGAAGTTCAAAGATTAAACAACCTGTCCAAAGTACGTGGCTGGTAAGTTGCAAAGAAAAGTTAAAAACTTGGCTCTCCAGAGTCATTACTAAATGCTAGAAACATTATGCCCTGTGGCTTAAGGACTGGGTACCGGGATATCTGCTGAGATCGTAAAAGATAACTAAAATGTGGTTTGTGAATTACAGTCTAGTGGAGAAAACAGACAACTCAGATACAAGTAATTTAATACAACCTGGGGATAAAAGTTGTTTTGAAGATTTCTGCAAAGCATTATGAAATCCCTGAACATGAAAAACTGAAATTTCTGATGTCTGCGACTTTTTGCAGAATTTGTTTCTGAATTGGGCTCTAGAAAATGATGAGACTTGCCAAGTGAACAGAGTGGGGTTTTGGCTTGGGGGCGAGGCATTTTCAGCAGAGGAAAAAATCACATGCACAGATATTGGGGGTTTATACAAACGTGACCTGCTGTAAAATGAAACTCATTTGTCATTGGGCTTAAGGTTGCACAGGTGAGAAATGTGACTGAAAGATACATTGGCATCAGAGAAGGACCTTTGACATCAGCCTAATGCATTTACTTGAATTTTGGAGACAATGGAAATTCATGAAAAACTTTTAAGCATGGCAGTGATATGACCAAATTTACATTTTTTGATATAAGTTCTGGTAGTAGGTAGAAGATGAATTGGTGAGGCAGAAAGAAAGTGGAACTTATTAGAAATCCAATAAAAAGAGAGAAAGAAAAGAGTGGAATTTATTAGAAATCCAATAAAAAGAACTTGGGAAAGAGATGATGAAGGACTCAACTTGACCAGCTAGTCAGTGGAGCTGAGAAAGAGAAATGTATATAGGGTGCATATACTTATACCCGAGGAAGGTATATAAGGTAGAATATTCAGCAATTCAATGAAGGTGGTGATGAGCAGGAAGGATTTGAGACGATCCTTAGGTTTCTGGATTCTGGGTGGATGACAACATGACTTAATGAGATATGGAGAAGGGTTTTGAGTGAGATGATGGGCTTGGATTTAGACCAGTGGAATTTGAAACAGTAGTAGAAAAATGATGGAATTTTGTAGCAAGCAATCAGTTATTTCATCTGGAGCTCAGGAAAAATATTGCAACAGAAATGTGAATTTGAAGCTCATTAGATTATAGGCAGTATTCCCAATGTGTAAACTGCAATGTGAAAAACCAAGCACATTTGGAATTCTAAGGAACAATGACATTTGGTGGGCAGGTGCATGAAGAAAAGTCAAATAAAAAGAATGAGAAAGAATGACTAGTGGTAGAGAGAGAACCAGGAAAATATGTCATGGAACCCACAGGGGAAAATATTTCCAAGAATTAAGGGCTCTCAAAGGGTGAGAGGAGTTAAGAATATGTATATTTTTCAGAAAAATGATGAGCAAAATGCAGTCTAGGTAGCTCCGAGGTAATCCAAAAGCAAGTGGAGAAAACAATCCAGTCTATCCACCGTCCCCAAAGCCTGTCTCTAGCATTTATTATGCCTCTGACACACCACTTAGGCATCAGACATATTGGAGTAAATAAAGTAAAATTCTCACCTTTATGAATCTTTGTTATTCCTCTCATTCTCTCTTCCAAATCAAATCTTGTTCAGTCATTCAAGGCCCACATTACATCTTGCCTTTGCCATAAACACTTCCCTAAGCACACTGGCCCCACTGACAGCTCCTTTCACTGGAAACTGCCTGTGATATTTGGCTGACATTTATCTTGCCAGACATTTTTAGTTATTGCATTGTGCATTGGCGTATGTAATTTTACCATAAGGACTGCAAATTATTTGAGGAGAAGGGGTTAAGAGTCTAGATTTTTCCTTCACAATCCGTGTCCCCGCTTTGTACATGTTAAGTGCTTAGCAATACTTTCTGATGTCTCCTCCTATCCTCCACCCCCTATTTTGCTGATAGTCTTCCCTTGAACAGGGAATTATGGGTATGCCTTAGGTCCTGGCTCTACCACCCGCAGATTTATCTCTTGAGCAGACATTGCTGTGTCTTTGAGCAAAGATCCTTCAGGATTTCTCAGTCAGATTGAGGTAGATGGGCTTTAGGTCTCATCTGCAATGTATCTTTCCTTAATTAAGGAATTCAAGTGCCTGACACTATATGGCAGGTACTGTGCTCTTGCAACCAGTCAGGTGATCTGGTCTCTACTTTCACTTAGCTACTTGATTAAAAATGAGTAAGTCATTTCAGATGATAACAAACATTATGACACTGTAACAAGGTAAAGTGAGAGAATAACAGGCAGTGGGAATGGAAGAAGACAGTATTAACAAGAATGGTCATAGAGTAGTTTCTGAGGAAGTGACTTTGAGATTAGCTGCAGGCCCAAGAGCTAGTCATGAGAAAACGGGAGTATTTTAGAAAAGAGAGAGAGCAAGGGAAGAAAGACTGAGATGGCAGTAATTTTTAGCAACAGAAAGAAGGCCATTTACTCAGAATATAACGAGGGAAAGGGAAATCAGAAGATGAAGGGCCATTTCTGAGCCTAGAGTGGACAGCAATTCTTTAGCATATCACAGAGTCAACTCTTATGGTTAACACAGAGAAAAATGTCCTATTTTATACTTGCAAAATTCCCTAGGGAAAGAATGAAAAGAATTATTAGTGTTCTAACTCCTTGCTTTGCTGTGTGAATGTAACAATACTAATTCAACTGGAGCCTAATCTTTAGTTTGTATCTAATGGGTGGTGCTCCTATTGTTGGCCTATGGCTTTCCTTCTTGTTTACATTAACAATCTTGGAAAGATAACAGTTGCAAAACACCCACAACAAGAAATGTAGCAATTTTAAAAACCACCTGTGAGTTTTAACTATTTGTGGAGAAGGATTGCCTGTAGAACACTGCCCAATCAGATGACAATCTATCCCTTTAAGCAGATGAGAGATTACAAAACCCTGATTACTCCTACATGGAAATGTTTCTTAATCTGCTATTGGTTGAAGACCCCTTTGAGAATCTAATAGAAGTCATGAACACTTTCCCCAGGAAAATGCAAAAACAAACAAACAAACAAACAAACAAAAAACTCAAAAAACCCCACACACACTGACACAAAATATTAATAAAAATGTAAAGGCTTTCTGGAACTTTAAGGCCCATCCATGCAGCCCAGAACACCTGATCAAGGCATGACTTTCGAAAATTTCTGTATATCAGAATTACCTGAAAAGCTTGTTGAAAACCATATCCATGGCCTTGTCCCCAGAAAAATGCAAAATGGGATGCAGAAATCAGCATTTTAAAAAATAAATTCCCCCCAAGGGATTCTGTAACAGGTGGATAGACCACACCTAGTGAAACTCTGCTTAAGGATCTATACGGGAGAAAATTAGAGAGCAGAGGCTTAGAGCGGTGGAAACTGAAAGCACCTGGAAATTCGGAAGAGTGAATTTCCTCCTGGAACACTGAAATTCGGGAGATTAATATGGGGAGAATAAAGCGTGCAGTGAGGTAATAGTGTCAAATCAGAACTACGTAGGCAAAAATAACATGTATTGGGAATTAGACACAGGCTTGGAAGCAGGCTGAGAACATTGGGAAGACTCTGGGATTGGTGATCTGCCCGAAAGCAGTCCTTCATGATGAAAACCAGCGCTCATGCTGAGAGGTTCTCTCGTTTGTCTCTAAAGAGAGGTTATCTACTGTCTCTGCTCACCTTCTTGAGCCACTCAAGCTAGAAAATATAGGCAGCATTCATCACACCCGTCACTAGCGAGCGTATCACTACCTCTTATCGTCATCACATAATCACAGTGCTTACCTGGGGCGGGCCATCTATTATTTTAACTTTACAGTTAAAATATGAGCAAATAGAGGCCTTCAGAGTGGGAGGGCCTTGTTCAAGACCACCTAGTAAAATAGCACCTGAGTTAGAATCAGAAATTGGCTTTTTATTCCTTACTCTAGTGCTCTTCCTCCTCCCTATTTGGTCCTGAGATTAAAAAAAAAAAAAAATCCCATATGGAAACACTTGAAGGGAATGTGCTTTTCCCCAAAAAGTTCAGGGCAGTGAATTCAGATGCAGAGTATATTTTAAGTAGGGCAACATTTTTCAATGAAAAATAACACATTCACTGGTGCCACAAATTATGTTTTTCATATATTTTAATGCCATGTGGTCATTGTGTGGTCATTGTGAAGAGAGAACTGAACAAAAAGCAACGTTTGTCTCAGTGCTTACGTGCTCCTGGACATGGAGCGGAGGATGAACTCGACTGCATTCTCAATGATCTCTGTGCCCAGGAGGTTTAGGAATTTGGGGAAGTCTGGCTTTGGGTCTTTGCCTGAGTCGTCTGGCTTGTCGTCTGGCTTGTCTGGTTTGTCATCTGAAAAACAGAACAGAATCTCAGAGGTGATTCTCAGCAACAAAGAAGGAAGTCTCCTTTCTGTGTGGGGAACTCTTGGGATTCTCTCTGATCCACTCACTAATTTCATAGCCTTATATGGTTATATTCATCGAACATTTAATGCCTGTCTGGATAAAATCTTCACACGCATTATCTCATTTATTTGTAAAAACAAACAAATAGACCGACTGATATTGATACTTAGGTAGACACTGGCACTGCCTTGTGAGTGAGAAAAACAAAGTTCCCAGAAGCTAACTACTTCTCTCAGAGTTAAGCGGATAGTAAGTGCCAGTGCCAGGATTGACATACAAAATGTCTGCTTTTCCATATGATCTCCATGTCCGTTGTAATAATAATATTAAAGATAAATTATCAACTGGGTGAGGTGGCTCATGCCTGTAATCCTAGGGCTTTGGGAGGGCGAGATGGGAGAATTGCTTGAGGACAGGAATTTGAGACCCTTCTGGGTAACACAGTGAGATTTCCATCTCTACAAAAAGTAAAAAGTAGCCAGGTGTGATGGTGCACACCTGTAATCCCAGCTACTTGGGAGGCTGAGGCAGGAGGATCTCTTGAGCCCAGAAGAAGGGACTGTAGTGAGCCATGATTGTTCCACTGCACTCCAAGCCTGGGTGACAGAGTGAGACCCTGTCTCTAAGAAATAAAATAGATAAATAAAAATGAAACATTTGTTGAGTACATGTCTAAGATGATCTACATGGATTGTCTTATTTTATCATAGCAACTCTACAAGGTAGGAACAATTATCCCAATTTAAAGGTAAAGAAATATAATTTGAGAGATGTTTAGAAACTGGTTGAAAGTCGCAGTTAGTAAGTGGCAGAAATACAATTCAAACCCATGTCAGTTTGGCATTAAAACTTGGATTCTAAAGTACTCTATGATGAGCTGCACAGTCTTTGATGGAAAAGTTATGCAGTTTGCACTTCTTTTAGAAGATTCAAAATAGTATAACAACAATGATGACAAAGAAATTCTATCACTTGCATATCACCTAGTAGTTTCATAAATAGTGATTTTACAAATGTTGTGTAATTTTACCCCCTGAGCAATCTTACAGAGTATGCATTTTTTTTAGCTCACTGAACTGAGAAAGTGAAAAGATTAAGTGGCTTACGGAAGACCTCACAGAGAGTAAGAAAAATGCTGAGACGACGACTGCAGGTCTCTTACACTAGATTCTTTTTTTTGAGACAAAGTTTCACTCTGTTGCCAGGCTGGAGTGCAGTGGCACAATCTTGGCTCACTGCAACCTCCATCTCCCAGGTTCAAGTGATTCTCCTGTCTCAGCCTCCCGAGTAGCTGGGACTACAGGCGCTCTCCACCACACCTGGCTAATTTTTTTGTATTTTTAGTAGAGACGGGGTTTCACCATGTTGGCCAGGATGGTCTCGATCTCTTGACCTCGTGATCTATCTGCCTCGGCCTCCCAAAGTGCTGGGATTACAGGCGTGAGCTACCGTGCCTGGCCCTCTTACACTAGATTCTTAACCGCCCGTTGGAATGAGGGCCAAGGATCCAGAGCGAGGTCGATTACATTCAAGATCCCTTGTGGGCTTTTTGACTTTGCTTGGTTGTCTTTATTCTCAGGAGATGAGAAGAGATAGAAGAGTAACAGTAGCTACATGTGATCTCCCCTCTGAGCCCTGGTCACAGGATAAAGTGGGACCTTTATTTTTTAATTTTACTGTACCCTGACAAGTAATGTTACCAGACTGGGTAAATAAAAATACAGAATGCCTAGTTAAATTTAAATTTCAGATAAACAACAAATGCTTTTCTAGTACTATAAGAATGATCCATGCAGTAATTAGGACACACTGATGCTACTGGTACTATAAGGCTAACATGGTGAAACCCCGTCTCTACTAAAAATACAAAAAAATAAGCCGGGCGAGGTGGCGGGCGCCTGTGGTCCCAGCTGCTCGGGAGGCTGAGGCAGGAGAATTGCGCGAACCCGGGAGGCGGAGCTTGCAGTGAGCAGAGAGCGGGCCACTGCACTCCAGCCTGGGTGACAGAGCGAGACTCCGTCTCAAAAAAAAAAAAAAAAAAAAAAAAAAAAAAAAAAAAAAAAAAAAAAAGAATTATAATTAGGATACACTGATGCTAAAAGATTATTCATTGTTTATCAGAAATCCAAATCTAACTGTGTTTCTTGTATTTTATCTGGCAACCTCAGCACAAGTTTTAACTCAAGAAGTCCCAACTTCTAGACAATGTACCCCTGACTTTGGATAAAAGAGATGTAGCTACCTTTTGTGTGGAGGCTGTCAAATTATGTCAAAAACTTTACTTCTATATTATATCCTAAAATGAAAACTATCAGTGGAAAAGATTGGCAGGCAATTCTATGAGCATTTATTGCTTACTACGACACAGCTAAAGATTTGATAGAAGCACCAGTTTGGGACTTATAACCAAAATCAATATACTAATCATTACCTATTCATATATCCGATTATTGGTTCCTTCATTCAAAAAGTATTTTTGAGTCTACTTTTTTAATGTTTTATTTTTGAAACAGGGCTTCACTCTCTCACCCAGGCTGGAGGGCAGCGAAATGATTATGACTCACTGTGGCCTCAACCTCCTGGGCTCTAGAGATCCTCCCACCTCAGCCTCCTGAGTAGCAGGGACTACAGGCATATGCCACCACAGTTGGCTAATTCTTATATTTTGTGTAGAGACGGGGTTTCGCCATGTTGCCCAGGCAGGTCTCCAACTCCTGGGCTTGAGTGATCTGCCCACATCAGCCTCCCGAAATGCTGGGATTACAGGTGTGAGCCATTGTGCCTGGCCCGAGCCTACTATTTTGTGCATAGTTATGCCTAAGAGTCAAGGTAAAAAAAAGACAACTATAGATATGACCTTCACATAAAGTACTGGGCAACCTAGGTACTCAGAAGGATTGGTTTGTTTTTATTATGGGAAGGAGGTGGAAGCAGAACTCATGTGTAAGCTGCCTATTGTGCAGGTACTGCACCAGTGCTTTCAGCACATGCCTTCATCGTCATTCAGCTCAGTAGTGGTATCACAATTACAGGAGAGAAGACAGATGCTCAGGAAAATTAAATGACTCACCTGAAATCACTCATCTAGAAAGTGGCTGACCCAGGGTTTGAACCTATTTTTTCCTTAACTCCACAAAGCACATTATTCACATTGTATAATACAACCTCCAAACAATTGTTCTGTAAAGACGCTTGCCAAGGGCAAAGCAGTAATTTCTTGCATGAAAGATGAGACATTTTCTCCCGTTTTTCTATCTGGCTACTTGCAAAATAAATTCTATTGACTTGTTATTTTAATATGACACTAAAAGCTGGCTCTTCAAGATGCAAGAAGCCTGGGATTGGAGTGGGTGGAAATCAAAATCTTGGCCTTAGCTTGTGAACCCCATATATGTATTGAGAGGTATTAAAGTGTGATGGATTGCATGTTCTGGAGTTTTATAGACCTGTCGGATTCCTGCCTTTAACAAAAAATTAGCCATGTAACCCTGCGCACAGTGCTTAACTTTGCTATCTCTCAGTTTCCTCACATGTTGTCAGGATTGAGAGATATTTTATATAATATATATATACACACACATACATATATCTATATCATATATACATACATATAGCATATATACACCACTTATCACAGTACCAATCCCAAGGTAAACTTACCTTATATAAATAAATAATAAATGAAAGAATAAATAAATAAATCAATGTTCTCTGTTTTATTGTTACTACTACTTATAATAGCAACAAAATGACTTATAATTCACTTTCTCCTCTAGTGCTTTAGAAGATAATATAAATTTTAAAAATGCTATTAAAATATCAAACAATTTATATCCTAGAAACAAATCTTCAAAGCTAAGAGTTTACTATTTCCTTTTTTCAAGTATTATATGGGATAGCCTTTATTTACAGTAACTACCTTGTTGAGTTTCTTAGTGAATGTGAATATAATGTTCTTAACAAACAATATTGCTGATATTTGTACAGTTTTAATAGTTTGCAAAGTAATTATAAAAGCATATTCATTTGACCTGGTGAAGTTGATAGTTATCCTATTTTACAGATAAAAAAACTGAGGTTCAAAGCAGTGAACTGATTTAACCAGTTTCAGGGTCTATAAGAGACAGGGTGGAGAATGGTCTTGGTATCAGATCTCACCTTTCACTTCACTGTAGTGGTTTCTTTAGGAGTAGAATGGACTTAATAATCTCCCTGGCCGTATCTAGAGTAATTCTGTTGTAATGTCTGCCTGTGTGTTGTTCAGCCAAGTTACATTCAAAGGATTCTGTTACTAAATGTTTGCACTCTCTCTGTTTTCTGGTCTCATTCTGAATGGAGCTCACAGTCTTTTGCAGACAAACAATAAATTAAGTAATGAGAAGGCAGCATACAGCATGAGCTTCCATGTGCTTGGAAAAGGTGGGAAAGAAGTAGTTGTTCGATAATAGTAGAAAGAATCTAGGAACTTAGGTTTCACTCCCAGGTGCCACTTCCACCTGTATGTATGCTCAAGTAACTTGCCCTCTGCAAGCTGAGTTTATTAACCTGTAAAAAGGAAAATGATAAAACTGCACATGTTTACATCATTGGATTACTGTGAGAACCAAATGAGATTGTACATGACAACAATAGCAGTTCATATTTATTGCATGCTTATTATCAACCAAGTACTCTTCCAATTCGTTTCATTCCTTTTATTGAATTTTCATGATAACTTTATGAGAAAGTTAAATGTCCCCATTTATATGTGAGGCCTAGAGAGATTGAATAGCATTCCTAAAGTCACATTTCTGGTTAGTGGTAGAGCCAGGTCTAGGAGTTATATTCCAGAGTACATATTCTTCACCATTGAATATCATTAGGTATAATTATCAAAAAATAAATGCCAGTCAGCTGCCATGGAATTTATACTAGAATAGTGTCATTATATCACAAGCACATAAAAAATTTCAAACTTCACACATCCACTGAAAATAGAGGCTAGGTTTTTATTAAAATCCTACTTTCTTTGTGTTAGAAGATATACCTCTTGTCTCCCAGGCCAGTGCTCTTTCTACAGTGCCCAAAGACCCTTCTTTCTTTTATGTTCTGAATCAGTGCCACCAGCTTTCTCTAGTCACTGCTAACTACTGAACAATTCATGGGCTGTGATCAGAAGCACTTACCTGCATAGCAGGTCAGGATTAAGACAAGCAGTCCCAGGACAACTGTCAGGCGAAGTACTGAGACAGCCATTCTGGTAGCACTGGGTATTGGTGCAGATAAATTGTTCAGATACATCTGAAACATTGCTCCATTTATAAGGCATAGATAGGTGACATCATCTGCTTTGGAATTTAGATTGTTGCACAAGATGTCTGCACAGCTTGCTTTCGGATCTGTACTAATGAGCCATGCCCTATCATTCAAACCAAACATTTTTCAAATAGGGAAAGAAAAACCCTCTTGATTTTAAACATTTGTATCTATAAAGGGTTCTGGAGTGAATCTCTTGAGGCTAGTTTCAAGGCCAGCATTGATAATTAGAGGGATATCAGGTTGAATTACTCATCAGTGCCAAGCAGCAGGCAACAAATCAGATTGGCAAGGCAAGCCTACTCCCTCCCTGTACACTGTGTGCCTTCCCTCATGCTCTGGGACAATCCCTTGTTCCCACATGGGCAAGCCCTTTCACACCCCATCCCTCTGCTCTTGTTCTTCCTTCTTCCTCAGATACCCTCCTCCTCATCTCTCTTTGGATCACTCCTATGTATTCCTCAGTTCAAATGGCCCTTCTTTGTGAAACCTTCATGATAACCACTCCACCCTTATCCAGGCAGAGTTTGTTACTTCATCATCTGTCCTACAGCACACTTGACCCCATTGTATAAGAACTAAGTGTTGGCTGGGCGCGGTGGCTCACACCTATAATCTCAGCACTTTGGGAGGCCGAGGTGGGCGAATCACAAGGTCAGGAGTTCGAGACCATCCTGACCAACATGGTGAAACCCCATCTCTACTAAAAATACAAAAAATTAGCTGGGCGTAGTGGCAGATGCCTGTAATCCCAGCTACTCAGGAGGCCGTGGCAGGAGAATCACTTGAACCTGGGAGGTGGAGATTGCAGTGAGCCGAGATCACACCACTGCACTCCAGCCTGGGTGACAGAGTGAGACTCTGTCTCAAAACAAACAAACAAACAACAACAACAACAACAAAACTGTCTTATTTATTTAACTTTTATTTTTCTCTTTTTTTCCCATCAACTTTTACTTTTATTTGAAGTTCCGGGCTACACATGTAGCCAGCAGGAATGTACAGGTTTGTTACATAGGTGAACATGTGCCATGATGATTTGCTGCACAGATCAACCTGTCACCTAGGGTTTTTCTTTTTTTTTTTGAGACCGAGTCTCGCTCTGTTGCCAGGCTGGAGTGCAGTGGCACGATCTCGGTTCACTGCAACCTCCGACTTCCTGGTTCAAGGGATTCTCCTGCCTCCGCCTCCTGAGTAGCTGGGACTATAGGCATGCACCACCATGCCCAGCTAATTTTTGTATTTTTAGTAGAGACGGAGTTTCGCCATGTTGGCCAGGATGATCTCAATCTCCTGACCTCGTGATCTGCCCGCCTCGGCCTTCCAAAGTGTTGGGATTACAGGCGTGAGCCACCTTGCCCGGCCGGCACCTAGGTGTTAAGCCCAGCATCCATTAGCTATTCTTCCTGATGCTCTCTTTCCCCTTGAAACCCTGACAGGCCCCAGTGCGTGTTACTCCCTGGAATGTGTCCATGTGTTCTCACAGGAGAACTAAGTGTTTTAATAGCTCTCTTCTCTTTCAGCTTGCGGATCTATTTCTTTGTTTATTGGCAAAATATTGTACATATTCATGGTGCACAATATGATGTTTTGAAATATGCATATATTGTGCAAAGGCTATATCTGGCTATTTAATACACAGATTACTCATACTTGTGTTTTTTTGTGTGGCGAGAACACTTAAAATCTCTCTTAGCAATTTTCAAGTATACACTACAATGTTATTAACTATAGCCATCGTGATTTACAATAGATGTCTCAAACTTATTCCTCCTGTTTAGCTCAAATTTTGTATCTTTTGACCAACATCTCCCCAATCCCTCCCACTACCCAACTCCCAGTCTCTGGTAACTATCATTCTACCCTCTGCCTGTGTGAGTTCATCTTGTTTAGAGTCAGCATGTAAATGAGATCATGTGGTATGTATTTGTCTTTCTTTGTCTTTCAGTGCCTGGTTTATTTCATGTAACATAATGTCCTCCAGGTTCAACTGTGTTGCAAATGACAGGATTTCCTTCTTTATTAAGGCTGTATAGTAAATAGTATTCCAGTGTATACATATCATAGTTTCTTTCTCTGTTCACCTGTTAATGGACGCTTAGGCTGATTCCTAGCCTACGGGTCTCAAGAGAAGAATGTTTTATTACTTCTGGATCCTCATGGAGCCTACTCTATTGCTTGGTCATGGTCTCACCTTTGGCTTCACCTCCTCTGAAAGTTTGTTCTAGTTTTTCCAAACAGAGATAGGTGATCCTCTGAGGTACCTGCTAAGTCTCTGTTTAAATGTCTTTACCAATAGGCTATAGGCTTCTCGAAGGCAAAACTATCTTTTTTAGAGTTCAATACATATTACTTGAGGCACATGGCAAATATTAAAAAAACAGAAACAAAACAAAACAAAACAAAAAAACAGAAGAAGAAGAAAAAAATAATTTGGCAATTGATTAAGACCAATCTTTCTCCCCCACTGCCAGACTCCATTGCCGTGGTCTCTATACCCATACCCGTCACCATGGTTCCCCTTGAATAAAGTCTACCTTACCATCTTTTTTTTAAAAAAAGAAAAATAATTAACTGGATTAAATATATTTGCACTTGGTGAAACAGAATGTTGGATTTGAGATGCTGCAATGTATTTCAGGTGTAAAATAATCTTCCTTTGCAATACACACAAGAGAATAAAGTTTGGTTCAAGTCTAGATGATACTGGCTGTCCTGAGGAATGCTATAAATTCAGTTAATTGGAATGTGGACTTGGGAATACTTAAACTTATTGATTTATCAATGCTTATACTTTGCATGTATTGAAGACCATTTTATAAATGGGAAAATTAACTAAGGTATGGACAAAAGGAGGTTCATCCAGCATCTCAGAGCCAAGGCTAGGGCAATGTTTCTTATTTACTAGTTAGTACTCTTCACAAGGCACCAAACCACTTCTGGAAAGTAATCAGGCAGCTCTGCTTGCACCTTGTGTAGTGTGGCCTTCCCAGGCCTCTCCAGCCTGTCTTCTCAGAAAGACACTGGTCTTGTCTCTCTTGTACAAAGGGTTGTGAATCTAGACTCTAGATCACCACTGTTTGTATAGGACAGACAAGGCCAGAGTCTTTGATAAAATCTAGACATTAGAAGGCCTTCAGTGAGGTAGATTTATGCCATCAGGGTCACTACTGATGACTGAGCACTGTGATTGTCCAAGAGGCTAGTGGGGGAATGACATTCTAGTGTCCTTTATCAGTTAGGCCACAGACCCTGACACATTACCGTGTTTGCCTGGGAAAGGGTGCATGTTTTTCTCATCATTACAAGGGCACTCTATAGATAAGTGAAGGCTGTAGATACAGCAACTTAAGACAGAAATTTGCTGGCTTCTTAGGAATAGCAGCTGGGTAGGGCAAGCAGACAAATCCTAAATCAGCTGCTTTTGGTGGTCTGGTGTCAAAAACCTAGCACTGTCCTGAGTGTCAGGATAGCTGGCCTCAATTCCTGTCAGTAACACTAGTTCATTGCATGGCCCTGATTCAATACCCTCCATTTTCCCTGCTTGTTGTTCTTATTCTTTCTCTTCTCTTGGTTTTTTCCTCATAGCTTCAGGTCTCAGCTAAAATGTCTTGTCTTTGGTGAAAACTTCTGTGACTCTCTAACCCAATTCAGATCCCTATATGACTAATTTTTCTATACTCTGTATTGTTTCTTCTCAGCACTAAATTTTGATGATTTAATGTCTCTCTTTCCAAGGAATATTAAAATCTCAAAGGGAAGCATTCTGATCAGTCTTGTTCAGGGAGATGGCTTTGCTGTCTAGGATAGTGCCTTGTTTGCAAAAGATACCCAACAAATATGCATTGAAAACATGAGCTAATAAATAATGCTGAGAACAGGAGCCGGGTTCTTTTGGTTATTATCTGTGTGACTCTGGCAAATGACAGATACCCTCTGGGTCTCAGTTTCTACATCTGTAAAACGGACATAATATAAATTCCTGCCTATATATCAGCACCATTGTAAGAATATAGGAGATACAAATAAAGGACCTGATAACAATAAATAACCTTTAATGTTGGCCATGTTAATAACAGTTGAAAAGCTGTGATTTATCTTTCACTGCCATAAGAAAGTGAATTTGCTTTAGGTTGATGAGAAACTGAGATTATGAAAGAAGGTTTTATCCAAGCAGGGAAGAAGATGAAAACTTTCTTCTACAACACTATTCTAGCTTGGTAAGAAGGTATAGGAATGAAGGAAATAAGAAATGTTTTAATTACTATGGACTTTTCCAGACTTAATTAAAAATCATCTGGGTGCTTTTTTTCTCAAGGTAGGAAAGAATTACAATTTGGGTTGGCAATCTCATGAAGAGATTTCAATGTGGTTAAAAGCATGGGTTTTGGGAGCACTCAGAACTGAGTCTGAATTTCAGATTTGCCCCTTATGAGCTGTGTGACACTGTAACCTTACAATATTTTCTAATTTCTCTGTGCCTTAGATCCAGTGCCCATAAAACAGGAGTAATGATACCTCTTGGTGTTTTTATGAAGATTAGATAAGAAAATTTGTAAAACTAGTACAGTGCCTTGCAAATACTAAGTGAAAAATAAATAATAGACTTGTCTATTCTATTCTACTCTATTGTACATTGAGTTGTCTTAGAGGAGGGAGTGACATTTTAGGACCACCACCACCACCACCACCACCACTAATAATAACAATAATAGGCTGCTTCCTCTGGTCAGGTGCTGAGTTAGATACAATGTATCAATAAAATTGTTGAGAGGCTACCATTACTATCCTCATTTTATATAAGGGAATTTAAGCTTAGAAGGGTTTTGCCAGGGTTACAAATCATATATGAGCCAGAGCAGGGAACTGGACATGCAAACGTGTGATTCCAATGTTCCTGCTTTTAGCTATTCCGTTAAGTTGCACTGGCATATGCTCATGGTTGCTACTGGCAAAATGTCTGGGCCAAGCAAGGAACACCATGTTACCAACCTGTGTGCCCACAGATTCATCTGTGCCAACTCTGCTTTTTTTTCATTAGCCTCTGAATAAAGTTCTGGCCTATTCCATTCACTATGTTTTTGCTCAGTTTGATACAGCGAACATGCAGTTTACATGGTGTCCTTTATATCCTCGGCAGAAATAGGACTGAAGATAGGGCTGTAGGATAA